GATTCAGAAAGTATTTTGTTCCTGAAAAAGATCTGGCTTTCGACGAAAGTATGGTCAAATACTACGGTAAACATAGCTGTAAGCAATTTTTAAGAACCAAACCCATACGATTTGGTTATAAAGTCTGGTGCCTAAATACAGTGATGGAGTACTTGATTGATTTCGAGATATATCAAGGAAAATCTGTAACTCCTGATATTGACATAGAAAGAAACTTTGAAAAGGCGGCAGCACTACTGGTGAAAATGATAGAAGAACTACCTGATATTCTGAAATCTTTTCCATTCTTATTTTACTTTGATAATTTATTTACTACCTGCAGTTTATTGTCTTATTTGCGTTTGAAAGGAGGTACGGGGACTATAAGGGAAAACCGTTTACCTTGGAGCTGTCCTTTATTACCTAAAAAAGATATTCAGAAAAAGAAAAGGGGATACTATGAAAGTACTATTAGTAAGCCCGATGCTGTACTAGTAGCTAAGTAGGTCGATAATTCCGTAGTTTGCGTTGCTTCAAATAGATATGGCATCAATCCAATAACAAAAATTGGACGTTATTCGCAAAAGAAACAAAAACACATACAAGTTAGAAGACCAGCAGTACTTGCAGATTATGACAAAAAAATGGGTGGTACTGACCAATGGATCAGAATGTTGGACAGTAGAGGATTCAAATTAGAAACAGAAAATGGTATCGGGCATTGTTTACATGGCTCTTGATGATGTGGAGTATGTATCTAAAGCAAACAACTCTCATATGTCCCAAATAGATTTCAAATGGCTATCGTGCAAGTTTATTTGAAGAAATATTCGTCATCTCCCAAAGGCACTGGCAGGACTCCATCTCCATTTTCTAATGCGCAAAGAGTAGCCGATGTAGCGTTACATATATGTAACATCATATACTGAGTGATTTATAAATTTGAATGCGTAAATTCATTTATTTTTATTGTTTTTTTTTAATAAAACTGCTCCCAAAAAATATTAGCATCAGATTAAAAACTGCGAAAAAATAATCTGGGCACTAATGGGTTAAACTTTTGGTTTATTCCCAATGAAAATAGTAATTGTAATAAATAAATGCTCTACTGCAAGTTATTTTTTGTAACTCCAAAAACTGGTCATACAAGAATGGACCGGAGGAGTGTGACGTCACGACTGTCACATTGTCATTATTACTTTCCAAACAAACGTTTGAAATGTCAAATCTCAAAACTTTTTAATTCCTATAAAGTTAACATTTTGCTTCCTCTGCTGCTTTTTCTTGTAAGTATAGTGTTTTTTACGATAATACCATCATAATTCAGAGTTCTATTTCTATGAAATATGGTTTAAAAGCTTAAATTAAAGAAATTTTAACCTTACTTTATTGATACATGCATTTTATTGCTATTAGCGTAAAACAATGTGCTTTATTATTTACACAACCTTGTAAAATTGTTGTAGTAACTATTAGAATACATACATATTGCAAATAGCGGAAAGATTCTATAAAATAAATGAAAAAATAACGAAAAATACAAATTATCCACACTAAACAAGGTTTGTTTGGAAAGTGAAACTGACAGATGTCAATAAAATCTACGTCAGCACTTCTGTGGTCCATTATCGAAATACTTTTTAACTATAATGTAACCAAATTTTTAGGCGATAGAGTACCAAATACCCGAGATTTGTGTGATTATATTGAAAGTCCTAGAATTTGGTTCTTTTCATTCCTTATATTTTGCAGTGGGCCATATCTATTCAAATAACACATCTACTTCAACAAAAATTATCACAAAAAATATAGTAACAGTAGTGTATATTAAATCTTTAATAACTTATTCCAGATTGAATTTGATCAAGAAAACATTTCCTTAATAACAAACGGCCAAAAGTAATAACGAGATTTGTGCAACAAATCAACTCATAGAACATTTTCAAAATGTGGCTGACACAAACAATTTCCTTCTTCTACAGAATTGTAGTTATACGACTGCCTGCAGCTAACTATATCTATTCATCGCTGTAGAACCACCGCCACCAGCACACCTTCATTCTGTCCCAAATGTTGTCAACGCTGAAAATAAATAAGTTGGTATTATTTTCTTTAGTTAAATATATGCATACTCAGAAAATATTCATGTGATAAATAAAAAAAAGGATGAAATAGATCGCGAATGTAGGAAAAATTTTAAAATTAAATTTAGGTTGAGTTTACCGAAAGTACAAGCTGAATATAGCCGCAAATGTCAAAAATATTTCGGCTTGGCAGTGTTGCCATGTTTTTTAATGCAAATGTATGCTTCAAATATAAAGAGATAAAGCTTTTAAAAAGTACATTTTGATTATACTATTTTATGAATTCTGCAATTTTTAATTTATATGAAGCAGTAACGAGTAGATATTTGTCTCTTTCGAGATTAATTGCAAATATCTGGCAACTACTGCTGATTTGACGATTGCCAAATCTATCCCCTAATCTATTAAACGGCAATTGTAAAAAAATGTCTAATAATTAACTGCAATTAACCTCCAAAGAAACAAATATTTACTCATTGTTGTTTTATATAAATCAAAAATTGCAGAATGTATAACATAATATAAACAAAATGTACTTTTCTAAAGCTTTATATTTTTATTTTTGAAGCATACAGCATCTACATTATAAAAACATGCCAACACTGCTATGTCGAAATTTTTTGTTCCATGTTTGACATTTGCGGCTATAATCAGCTTGTTATATTTATACCGGCTATACTTTCGGTAAACTCAACCTAAATTTAATTTCAATACAAGATGTGAATTGTATCTAATTTAGCAACCCGAGCATTTTCCGTAAGTATATTTTGACGTTCACCTCCTTCTAATGTTACATCTTAAGGTCGATTCAGACACGTCAGTCACGTCTCGTCACAGTGATTGCGCCGAACCGAACAATCCGTCATACAAAATATTCTTTAATACAAATATGTTGCCGGCATTCACACTCATCAGTTGACAAACAGTTTCCCAGCTGTCAGATAGTTGATAGTTCTGTGACCAAACAGGACCGGTTCGGCGCCGAGACTATGACGGGACTGATGTGTCTGAATTGACCTTTATTCTTTCTCGTTTCAGTTCACTCTCAGTCTCATTTCTGTAAACGAGATATAAGTCGGAAAAAAGTGGTACAGTAGGTGGTACCGTTAGACTATCGCAAAAGCTTAATGGAGGTCAAGAGTGAGTTTTTGTGCTTAAAAATAGAACAGGGGACAGCTTAATTGAGTTTTGTCAACTTTTTGGTTTAAAAATAATCAATACCCAATTCCAACATATTCATAAATACACTTGGGAACGACCTTCACTACAAAATTTGTCGATCATAGACTATATAATAATGAGACAGAAATCAAAATTTAAGTGCTAAGACAAAAACCAAGTCATCCTAGCTCAAGATTCTTATGATCTAGAATTTATGATGAAGCGTCTATACAGAGGTAAATATTTAAATATTTAGGTGCACTAATTGATAAGAACGACTTGGGAGAAACCGAAATTAAACACCGAATTATTCAGGGACATAAAATTGTAGGATGTCTGAACTCCTTATGGTTGGATCGCAACATTTCCAAAATGAACAAAAAAGAATAGGACAAATCATGGTTGAATCAGTTCTTTGCTATGGCTCTGAAGTATGGACATTAATGCAGACCTGAAGAGAAGATTGTTGGCAGTTGAAATGGATTATTTGGGAAAAAGTTCTAGAACATCGATTAATTCAACAGAATGATTTTGAAAAAAAGTCTTATTTATAGTGATTCAAAAAGTGCTCTAGAGAAAATTACGAGATCAAATTATAAGGCTGCAGCAGACACACAAACTCTTCAATTAAAACAAAAACTTAGTCAACTCCATGAACAAAATAAAGAAATTAAATTCGCATGGATTCCAAGTCATACCGGGATAGTGGGGAGAGAGCTACCTCTTACTGAAGAAACAAAAGCTTCCTTTAAAGATTTACAAGGTTTCCCAACCTGGGGAGGGCTATAATTGCATAAATGTGTCGTATGATAAGTGGACACTGCAGCATTCCAGTTCATTTATTTAGATTGAAAGTGATCAATACAAATCTGTGTTCATGTAGCAGTTTAGGCACCTTCCAGCATATGTTGTTGGAATGTATTAGATATTAAAGGGAGTCCCAGTTACCTAGAAAGTGAATTTCAAGGTGATCCAACATTTATCGATGTGTTGTTCAAAACTTAAACTCAAAGACTCTGCTTGCATTGCAAAAGTTTTTAGCGTCAACAAAGTCTCAAGTGTAGTTCGTTAATGGACATTATAAGATTTAATCCGCTTGCTAGGATTGCATGTGCTTAGTGTGGTTTGGTGCAGAAATATACGACAAGAACAATAGAACTTTACAACTTATTAGAAAGAACTTTTGAACATTTGACTTTAATTTGTTTTCTTTCCTCCTTTAACTATTGTTGCAGTTTCAGGAGCTATGATATTAAGCCCAGATGTACCTTAGGTACAGCTTTTAAACATTCAGTATAAATACACGGATCCTGGCTCTGGTAGCTAAGGTCAAGCAAATGAATGGAAGAATAAGGCTGGAAAGAAAGACCAACGAATCTATAAGAAATACCATGAATGCTACAGAAACTGTCATTGACAGAATAGAAAGAAGAGTTTTAAAATGGTTTGGACACCTATTGAGAATGCCTGACGAATGTTGATCCCAAAAACTTCACAGATGGAAGCCTCCTGGAAGAGGTAGACCTGTTTTTCTGTTTCGTAGAATTAGAAGAGCGATGGAATCGAGGGGATTGGAGGAGGAGCATGTCTTGGACCGGGAGGATTGGCGGACTAGAAGGGGAATACAGCGACTCTTTCTGTCACACTTTAATAAAATTTTTGAACTGATAATTGTAAACATTTTTAAAAATCTGACATTATTTGTATATAACGAGAAGTGTCCCACTACACTCATTCCATTTATGCAAATAAACTATAACTACGAATTGATTTATCTTACCTGTCCATAGCCGGCCGGACATCCAACAGAGCAAATCTGTATTTGTCATCACAATCTCCACCATCATAATAGTCAATTACATACCGGACATCTTTTCCGCACCTGTCAACAATCCAGTCGTGTCTGTCGAAAGGTAATTCATATCCCAAAAGATGGCGAATTCTAGCTCTGGGACTGTAGTCTTGTGCTTTACCGCCAAAGCTTTTCAGTCTAAAAATATACTAAATACATTAATCGTGTAAACAATACTTCCATTGGTTAGAATTATTTTTCTTATAGTAGAAAACTGTACAGCAGAAAAAATATAATGTAGCAAAAATAAATGCAGTACTCCAGCATGTTTCTAATGTAAAAGCGGTTTCAGATAAATTTACTGAAACTTTGCAGAGAGTTAGTCTTTATAATGCTGATTAAAAGGCCTCAAGATGTAGAAATCAATTGGTTTTGAGGTACAGAGGTTTAAAGTGTCAGTTTTAATGCATTTAATTAATATATATTTAATGATTAAATGCTCGAATATATGAATTTTACAAATAAAAGGCAGATATTAGGCAGTTTACTTTCATTCTCAGAGTATCTCAGGTGCATTTCGTCAAAAATTGTTGGCATCCCTTATATATTATATACATTTTCTATATATATTCACACAAGATTCATTCAAAAATTTTGCATAAAATTAAAGGTAACAAATTATTTCACCTGCGTTCACTGCAAATGCATTAGCTTTCTTAGATTAACTTCTTTTTGTATTTTCAGTAAAGATTTTCGGTACAGATCATTCGGATTTTTTTACAATGAGTAATGTGACATAGGAGAAAATGTAAGTATGTGAAGCATTATGAGGGTTGTAGCTTCTTTGCTGTAGTTTCTAGGGTGGCAATTATGTTTTCCCCCTCTTATTTCTAGGTGCACAACCTTTTTCTACTAGTTATAACTAAATTCTTTTTAGATGAGGCAGTGTAACTGCATGAATGCTGGCAAATTATTTGACACAAACAGACTTTTCCATACCAAAACATCGCAACTTGTAAGAATATGCAGCAAAATGAGGTTTGTTTCCTTCATTATGATTTCTATGTCGTTGTATATGCTTTATTGTTATTAGACTAGCCATGTCTTGCTTGTTTTTTCATGCATTCTATAAAATTCAGTAAATATATATTCTCAAGCTCTTCAACAGAAATTTTTTGGAAACATTTCAGCCATTTGGCTTAACTAAGGTTTCACTAAAAAAATTTTCACTAAAAAGGTAAAATCAATGTGAATTGATTTGCATTCATACATTTTTCCACTCTTCAATCCATTGGTTTATCTATTCCTTTATTATTTACCATAGAAAGAAATTTTAATGTCATTAGATATCACCAAAATATTACACATGTCCACAATCTGTTTTAGATTAGACAATTTATATAGCTTATGCAACAGAATAATACCATTAAACCCTTGAAATGTCAAGCATCAATATGAATACCTACTAAGATGTGAGTAAGAAAGGTTATGGTTTATAATAATTGCAAAAAATTAATTTTACCTTGGATCTCGACATTCATTAGCATGTAGTGCCTCCCATTTTAAAACTTCTTGCCATGCTTGTTCGTTATTGGCATTGTGAATTTTTATTATGTTGTCCATATCTCCTTGCTTAATATCATCATCTCTCCATTTCCAACCTTTTCTCAGCATGGCATTCCAAAACATCTATACAAAAGAATTTTAGTAATTTATACAAATATATCTATTAATAAATGTTACAGCAGGTGTTCAAAATATATAAAAGTATAAGATATCACTCTACACTATAGGCAAAAGAAATACTTGGCAGTGTCTGTGAATAATAGTAGGATGATTTGTTACATGAGCATAAAGATACCAAAAAAATAAATGTATACGAAAATATTATATTATTTATTGTAATATTTGCCCCAGAAACAAGCACATTATTGACTAAAGAGGAAGAACAATCAAAATGCCAAGCACAGAAGAAAATGAGAGATAAGCGCCATGGATATCGTTACAAGTTTTTTATAAGCAACAACTATTCATATATATACAAGAAAGGATGGCACCCCTAGATTTTTAAATGCATAACTACAGATCTGAATGCATAACTACAACTGAATGATGAATGGTACAAAAAATGTTTCTTTTGCTACAATTTTAATTGAAAAACCCATTTGAGGCTATCTTCACTGGACCAAATGTGAAAAAGTCCCAGGTAAATACTTAATATATTTTTTGTGAAAGATTTCTGAAGTTGAACTCGAAAGATCAAATATATCATATTTTCAATTAAGAGTGTGGTTTTATACCTATATATTACATATTTATTGGGACCGTGCAAGTTCGGAACAGCGACACCTGGTGTCGTAAATCAGCAAAATTTACTGTGCTTTCATGTTAGATCGAGGTTACCGGATAGGACGTAGCCCCAAAAAAGAAATAAGAAGAAACAGTAAGATTGAGGTTATGTTGGTATGTTATTAAAAGGTAAACGTTGTTGTAGTGTAAATACAAATAAATATATTATTAAATTACAGCATTACTGTTAATATGGATGCAATAATAAAACTGGAATTGAGAAAGTAAATCACCAAATAACTTTTCAACCAAGCACTGAGTCAAATGGAAAAGCTTTAGTAGTGGCAAATGTCAAAAAAGAATGGAAGAATTATGTGAAGAATTAAGAAAAATAAATTACCATAAATATTGCTAATGCATAAATTAGCAGGTTAAGCCCATGATATCATATTGGTTTGAACAATTAATTCTTTCCCTGTAAACTTTTGGATGGCGAATATATTTTAATGCATCTTCAGAAAAACTTGATTGATGCATTTTTGTAAACTTCAAAAAAATAAAATTTAAACATTAAACTTGATTTTGGGTTAAAATGAACTCTAAGTAGTGTTATGAAACTAAAATTTACACTTAAAAGTGAACTTTATTTATTATTATTTCAAACTGACTTTAAAATCAGGCGAAAGAATAATGCATAATTTAGGTTATGTTACTTATGCTTTTTATGATATAAATCCACTTCTCTTTGTAGTAATTTGTGCTTTGAAGTTGGAAATGAATAAAACTTAAATTGACAATTTTTTGTTGTATTTTTACAATTTATAACACAGCATTTCCTAAATCCCATTTTCTTCAGTGACAGAAGGTGTAAATAAACAAATGAATATGAAATATGACAATTGACAATATGAATTTATGAAATCTATGAAATTTGCAGTAACAAATGCAAGATTTCTCAGCTACTCGCACATGATCGTTTCTCGTATCACATCCAAGTACTTGCACATCGCCAATACTTATTTTAATTAGTTTTTTTTATGTTAAATTAAATATAATAACTTGATATTTGATATTTGAAAAAAAATATTACCTGCGGACTAGGATATACCCAAAATTGCCCTTCTCCTTCTTTTATTATAGCTTTAGGTATTGTTGAGACCTGGCGATCAGTTGACAAGGGAAAGGGTTGTCCTGGTGATGGCTTTTGATTGGCTGGTCCCATCTGTGCATTACAAGTATATCTTAATTTTTTAATAATGCAACATGAGTACTGATAATTTATCTAATACAAAATTAAAAATATTTTTCATTAACTAAGTAGGTACCTATTTAATGTGACTTATACTTTGAACTGAAACTTATTTAATAATAAAAATGTGTATAATCAATACATGCACACCGTCAGCACATTGGTGAAGGCATCATATGGCTCACATGGATACCATTTGCATGGAACATGTAATACCTATCTTCAAATAATAGTGATTCTACCCTAATACATATAGTTTCAACTCATTTTAAGAAAACGCTGTACTCAACACAGAACTACTTTAATTTCATGCACAGAAGATTTTTTGGAAAATAATCCAGCAGAAATGAGTTAGATTGACTACTTCTATTGAATGACTAGAAATCAGTTTTTACTATTAAATTTTCTACATACCATATTTAAGGGATTTATATCGTCATTGCCCTGTACTGGGCAACCAGATTCCACTTGTTTTTGTTGTACCTTTTGGTGCATAGGACATTCTGGTGGTATTTCTCCAGTGTAATTCTGATATTTCTGGCGATGTTTTTCTACTTCCACAGGATCATTTGCATTTATTAACTGCGATGCAGTTACTTTCGCTATTTCAGCCGCCGAAACTGAATTTCCCATTTCTGCAAACCGAAAACATGAAAATTTAGCACATGATATTGTATTTCCAAAAATGTAAGGTTATACAATACTTACATAACTTGAACAATTCTATTTACTGAAGAAATAGCTTACCAATAATTATGAATTTAACTTACTTTTACAATTTTATTTGATCATAAGTTATTCAAATAATTTAATGCACTTTTAGTATATTTTGACTTTTAATGTACATTCTCTAATATTCCGAAGAGTTAAAATGTCATAAATGACATGTGACGTGACATGAAGTTAGGGCTATAGAAAAGAATTGTGCACAGTATATACCATACATATTAGTGTAAGTGGCATACGATCGGTAGGAAGAGTGAATTGCATAGGCCCAACCGTTCGTAATGACGGCGGCGCTACTAGTCACGTTGGGTGAATGTACATCAAGGTTATTAAAAGACAGGTTACATGTTACCTCTAATATTCTAAAAAAGATGGTAGTATTAGATATATAGTCATTTAAACTTTTAGTTTAAATTTAAGCAATTCGATCGTTATTTTTACTGCCAAATAAAGATGAAGAAAAGAAAACAAAGATGTCGAACATATAATTTTACAGAATACTAAAAAGAAGCAGATAAAAGTAATACAAATGAATACTCCTACCCAACATATTGATGTACCTTTACCAGAAATACCTTTATGTAATAAATAATCAGGATTAGATGTACTAAAAAGAGAATTAAGGAACATAAAAGAAAACGTGAAACTTCAACAAAAACTTATAAAAGAGTTTTGAATATAAATTAGAGAACTTGAAACAGCTAAACTGGAAAGTGAAACTAAGTTTGAGGAAAAGACAAAACATATTTTTCAAATCCAGTAATGTAATCAGATGTTCTTAAATATGTTGAACTTAAGGGAACAAACTACTAATTTTGATATATTATATTTAGTCAAATCTCTTTTTCAACATGCTCTACTTGTTTGGAGGAATTTACAACAATGCACTACATGCATATTAAAAAGAGAAAACTTGAATACTTAGGCCACCTGATAAGAGGACAAAAGTACACGTTCCTACAAAATATAATGCAAGGAAAAATCCAAGGACGCAGAAAATCCATTCCGTAGAAGAAGAATGTCCTGGATAAAAAATTTAAAAAACTGTTTTGGCTGTACCACTAACGAATTATTCAAAACAGCAGTTCATAAAATTACAATCGCCATAATGATATCCAATCTCCGATAGGAGAGGCACTCAAAGAAGAAGAGTACATGCATTATCCTCAAATAAAAATTAAGTACTGCTCAAAATAATTAAAAAAAGTATATTGTATTCAACCCATTTTTAATAAAGTATTTGATAGTATATTAGCATCCTTTAGTCACATATATACAAAATAAGGAATGCCCTTCTAATTTAATTAAGTGGTAGTGCTATTCTACTACTTATATTTTGTAGCAATATATTTTACAATTTCTGTAATTCTGCAGATATCTCCCACATTTTTTAAAGATTGAATGAAATAAACAGTCATTAAAAGTGCAAAATTATTATTATTTTTGTTTTCGATTAATATATTTTCAATCATTACAGCTTTCTCAGTAAAGTCAATCGCGTCATTAGATACTCGACGCTGTTTGATGTAAAGTTACCCGACAACCTTTTATGTACTAACCTTGTTTGATTTGTCAAATGAAATTAGTTTCGGCCCGTCCGCATTTGGCGCTAGAAACTCTCTCCCAAACCTTTCCATAGGACTTACCTTACTAGAGGCTATGTACTGTGTTTGTATTTCATTTTGCAATTTGCAAATGCCCTATAAAGACAGTGTGTGTATTATGTATTTCAAATTTTAGAAATAGGAGATAAATACAGTGTACATAAATTTAAATTTTTTTATATATCTAATAAAAATTGCTAAAAGAGAAGAAGGAGGTACAATACCAAAATGGTATAGTTATTATTCGAAATCGAAAAAATTAAAAGAAGGACAATGCAAAAGAATATTTTTTGTGGATGGGTGAAATTTAATTAAAGATGGACAAAGTTATTTTTACAAGTACCAAGTAAGATCAACATCTAATTGTACCAAACTTTTGTTAATAAATACAAACTCGGTACTGTTTTGTACGTTTTACATCTGTAGTTAAATTACCTTTAAATCTTAACCTTATAACATGAAGCTTTTATTTATATACTACCGAGGAATATAGACGCATATGCGTCTATATCTCCACAATTCACTTGTTTCTTGTTTCCAACCTTCAAGAAATTTGAAATCCATTCATAGACTATGTGATCCAGGGTTGCCAGGTGAAAATTTTTGTCCTCCCTAAATTGAACATGAAACTAATTCTGAATAAAATGATGGAATGTATTGATGGTTGCCTAATATAATAACATGGATATAAAAAAATAATAATTGTTGTTTTATATCAATATTTCAAAAACATTACATTTGTAAACGATAAAAAAGGGATGATTTGAATAAATTTAACAGAAACGGAATAACGTACTTATTTATGACTTCGAATATTCCATTTAATATATAATATGTATTATTCACTTATTCAGACGTGTCCGCTGGCGACATCTCCGTATGCATCTGGAGATGTGTAGATGGTTTAATTTGATCATCTGTTGTTTATATAGCACGTCCGCGGATGCGTCTGCAAGATATCCGATTGTTGTCGGTTTTTTTAGCACAGATCAAAGGGTTTCGGTGCGGACGTCCGATGCCTTTCCACACATCTGACCTCTGACTTCTTCTTTTCTATTTTTTTTAATGACTCTATTTCGATATACACTCAAGTAGTAGTTGAACGTTCTAAATAGGCATATAGCGGCATAATAGGCATATATACTATAGCTGCATGCGGCAGCTATGGTCTCAATAACCATTTTTTTAATGCTCGCGTAGATATTGCATCTCCCGGGAATTAACACAGACTGAACGATTTACAGAGGTGTCCAGATGTGTGGTCAGCTCGTGATGATACATCTGCGTCCGCAGACGCGAATGCCGATGAGTAGTGGAGGCATTAGAGATATGAAAAGAAGCCAGTGAAGCATAGAATTTTATTTATTTGTTTTCACGAATCCTGTAATTCACCCGATTCCTACTGTAAATCCCCTAATTATTTATTTTATAAATCCTAAGATTTTTGTAAATCCCCTAATTCCTGCTCCAGAATTTCCTTCTCCTTTTTGAAAATTTAAAGGAATCTATTTTTGACAGAAATCTATTTGGTAACATAAAATAAAGATTCCAAGAACGTGGACGTGAACTCAACCATGAAAGCACAAAGGCACTGTACAAAAAGCGACTCTATGAAAAGATCTTACAAGAAAACTTTAACGATGCAAATAACCAACGATGGCGAATTAGACGAAGAAATGAAACATAGAAATAACCAGGGAAGACAAGCAATTAGGCAATTAAGCAGTGTACTGTGGGACAATACAATCTCCAAAGAAAACAAACACAAAATCTATAACAGCATCATAAAAAGCATTATTACATATGTAAGTGAAATATGGCCACTGAAAAGAAAAATATTAAAAGCATTAGAATCAACAGAAATAAACTTATGGAGAAGAGCGACTGGACAATCAAGATTAGACAGAGTTCGAAACGAAAGAATACGAGAAATTATGGATGTTAAGCGCAATATAATAGAGAACATTAGAATAAATCAACTAAGATGGTATGGACACGTCCAAAGAATGGATGAACATAGAATATAAAAGAAAGTATTGAACTACACACCGCATGGAAGAAGAAAGCAAGATAGACCGAGATTAAGTTGGAGAGAAGGAATCGATAAAGACTTGATTATCTGTTTTAATTTCCCATTTTAACGATAAAAGTAACAGAAAATAAAATTCTAGACAATTTAATTAAATAATTTGCTACCAATCACGTCTGATAATTTTTGTAAGTGCTTCCTCTAAGAAATGCACACTAAGGCATAAAAATGTAAAATTTCAATGGACTATCGGTATTATAGTTTTAATTTAATTATATCAGACAAACAAAGTACATAAACTCATTGCATTTTAAATCAAAACGCACTTTTGCAATTTCTGAGTGACCTCTTTAAATTCTATCTGTGCAGTTTTCGTGTCTCACAAATTGAGAAAGACTTGCCATTGTTTTAAGATTTCAATATTGCCAAGACCCATTTAAATCATATTTTTATTATGATCGCACAATTTCGTGGTGTGAACAATTGAATTATGTTTACAACGGCCGTTAGTGTCAAGGCAAAATAAAATTAGTACCGTTTTGTTCGTCGGTTGTTACATAATTGAAAGTTTCTGTAAATGCTACAATAAAATTTAATGGTCGATATAGAACTTAAATACTAATAGTCTTTAAAAATAAAGTGGTATTTTGTATTGACTATTAACTTTAACCATGTTTTTTTTTATTAATCTGTCCGTTTAATGAAAAGCTAGACTGTCATTAATACGTTTATATCATTGTTTAGATCATATAGATATATTTTCTTCCCCAGGAGGAAGGAGATAGTAACACTGAACTTAAAAAGATATTGATGGATTCGACCGTTACTTGATGGAAATTCATTTTATGTAACAATAAAACACTGAAAACTTTGCTTTAAAACTTCCACAAAATTTATTTTAAACTTTTATCACTACAGCTATTTCGGCTGATTGCCTTTCTGAAATTATCTATTTTTGGCATGCGTTTACACTTTATAGTCTCTAAGAGGGGAACTGCTTGTCTCAAGTTGGTCATTCGGAATTATGTCTGTGTTTATTAATTTGTTGATTTCCATAGATTCTAACAAAGATAGCTTAAGCCCTTTATTTTGAATGTGAAGAATTTTAAATTCGTCAATAAAAGAATGATTATGATCTAGAAGGTGAAGTGCGTATGTAGAATATGTTTTTCTATTATCGAAAGCCCTTTTATGTTCTGCTATTCGTTTATTAAAGTTTCTACCAGTTTGACCGATGTAAGTTTTTGGGCAGTCGCCACATTTAGGTTTGTACACACCACTGTGTAAGTGTTTTTTATTTTGGCTTTTGTTGTTGTTAATATATTTGCCTAGCTTGTTATTTGTTCGGAAAGCTGATGTTATCCTTTCTTTTTTATGTGTTTGGCTATTTTGTTGATAATTTTGCCTGTATATGTAATAGAGCAGAAAGTATGGTTTATTTCTCTGGCGGTGGAAATACTCAATTTCAGGGCTTCTTGTGTAGTTTTTGATTTAACATTTTAATAATTGTTTGTTCGTTGTATCCGTTGTTTA